AAGCACATCAGTGGAAGTTATACAATAAGTTCAGCCTACAAAGATTTGAATCAGGTGTCTCAAAACAGTTTATGGCCTTCGAAACACATATGGAAAGTTAAAATACCATACAAAGTGGCATGTTTTACTTGGTTGGTGGCTAAATAAGCAGTACTTACTCAGGAAAATCTTAGGAAAAGAGGATTGCCAATTTATTCTAGATGTTATTTATGTGGACAAGATGCAGAGACAATTGGCCATTTATTTCTACATTGTAGAGTGACCAGACAGTTGTGGGAATTGTTCATCAATCTACGGGGCATTAGGTTGACAATGCCAGGAAGAACCTTTGAACTTTTGGAAAGTTGGAATACAGGGGGAATTCTACCTCTAACAAAGACAGATGGAAAATTATCCCAGCAGCTATTTGGTGGACAGTGTGGAAGGAGAGGAATGCAAGATGCTTTGAAGATACAAGCAGCCCTACGCAGAAGATTAAGATAAATTGTCTTCTTTTTTTAGTTATTGGTGTAAATTAGAATATATTGATGACCATGATTCAATCATAGAAGTCTTAGGCTCCTTGTGGAAGAACAAGGATGTTACGCTTTGGTTTTTGCCTAAGTTCTCCATGATGTACATTTTGGCTCCCAGAATAATTTTTGTGTTGATGATTTAATTAGTATAATAGATATGTTACCTTTTCAAAAAAAAAAAAAATAATAGACCAGTTCCAAAAGGTAATCAGAAACCAAAATTTAGATAATGTACCTATTTCTTATAGTAGAGCCTAGAGGGAAAGGAACAAAGTTAGGGAACTACAAAGAAAGGAAGCACAGGGCATGCGCAAGAGCTGAGAACATCCGCTCAGACTTGCTTGCTTCAGCGCACATAAGATTCCTTTGTGTATAGATTATTTGGTTCAGTCACCTAAAATACCTTAGCTACCTTAAAAAGACCAGGATCAAAATTAACTCGCCCTATTAAGGAAAGGGGGCAGCATCTTTCTTATCATTTTACATTGTTAATTGGTTTGCACAAGTTTAAGCTCGTGACTTATTAGGCTTTCTTTCCTACTATTGTGTGTTCCTTTTCTTCTTGCTTCTGCTTAATGTCTCCAATTTTCAATCCCAAAACTCAGGAAAAGCATTGAAGTCTTGCCCCTTAGATCTTGTATTTTAGCTTTCCCAAACACTTTTTTTCGGTCCCGTGTATTTTGTCTCTTCATCGTAATCAAAATCTAAATCATAATATCATTTCCTGATGATGAAAAGTCACACCATTTCGTGAAACAACCTTCACCGTGAATGATTTGATATGATAATTTCCTCTATCCATTTATTGTCGCTTCACCATTTTGGTGTGCACAAATTGCTTTATCATTACTTTTTACTAAAGTTTCAACCATTGTCCCAACTATAGAGCAACTAAGTTAACATTCAAGAACCTACATCTCTATAACTTTCAGCATCACTCCTATTTTTATAACTATAGTGACCAGGCCAGCTTGCGCGCACCTCGAATAATTCTACATGTACTTGCTACCTACCTTCCACCAGTAAAGATATGAGTAACTTTGTCCACCAAGTCTTGGATAGACCGGAAGAAATCACCTAGTGTTTTTACCTTCTCAAACAAAAAGTTTACATTCAAGAACCCCATTGACACATCAAGCAAATAAAGGATTGGGGCCAATACCATTCCACCAAAAAGTGAAATAAGAGCAACTTGGTGCAAAAGCAGCATGCGCTTAAGGAGGGTCCTGGAAGGGCCGCACCTAAGGAGATATTATATAGGCAGCCTATCCTGACGCAAGCGTCAGTGGCTGATTCCACGGCTCGAACCCGTAACCTATAAGCCACACTTGGAAAACTTTACCCCTTCTACCCAAAGTAAACTTGGTTAAATTGCATAGTCGACTATTCACATTCAATTGTTTTATGCAATCATATCTATCCCTCTAGTTGCTAACTCAAGAGACTGCATGAGATTTTTCCCAGTTGCTCGACTTTATTTGTCAGGTTTGTAGTCCAGAATTACTTCTCTTTTGATCAAATTGTATGACAATGAGCCCATCAGTTCATGACCTGTAACTTCCCAGGTTTTACAGAAGTCTTGATTCAAAACTTGAAATCAATCGAAACTTCGGCACATCGGACCTTCTGTTGAAAACAACTTTGTTTCTACCTTTCTAAATTTACTCTGATTAGGTTTTGTCTGTTGCTCTATTGCATGCTCCATTTTCTGTTTTCTGGTTCGCATTGCGAAAATACTTGGGATTCAAATGATAGCTTGTTTACTTACGACATCACCTTTCAAGTATTCCCCCATCATCTGGTTGCTAATTGAAGAGATTCCACAAGATTTTTCCCAATTGCTTGACTTTATTTATAAGGTCTGTAGTCCAGGATTACTTCTCTTTTGATCAAATCGTACTATTTGGGCCGACCAGTTCATAGCCTGTAACTTCCCAGGTTCTTTTACGGCTATAATTCTTGATCCAAAACTTGAAATGAATCAAAACTGTGGCACATCGTACTTTCTGTTGAAACAACTTTGTTTCTACCTTCTAATAAAATTAGGTTGTCTGCTGCTAACTATTGCCTGCACCATTTTCTGTTTTCTGGTTCAATTGCGAAAATACTTGGGATTCGCACTGAAAGCTTGTTTCCTTCTGGCATCCCCTTTCAAATATCCCTCAATAATCCGCCCCTAAGACAACTTTTTACCTGCATACTCTACTTCAACTACACAGAAAAGTTTTGTAAGAACTTTACTCTCCCCCATCATAACACCTCTTGCATTCATAACGTCCCATTTCCATAACAGCTTCTTCCAATTCTCAACTCCCCCCAAATACTCTAATACCCATTAGATTTCCTTTTCTTGTGAAAGAATGTCAAGACATAGCACCACACACATCCTCAAAGAGGATTAGAGAAACCTATCTAGCATGTAAAACTCCTTTAATTCAGACGTCTATCAACTGTTCATTCTTTTAATCAAATTATGTTCATTCCTAACAATTCACCCTTGATATCATTGTTCTACCCTCTGAATCAATAGCAAATCTGTTTTAGGAAGAGAACTTTTAAAGTAAAGCAGCATGTCTATTTTGACTTCAGTTTGGTACATGGTGTTTGAAAACTATATTGTGTTAACCATTGAAAGTGACAATAGTATTCACCAAAATATGTAAGAGTGGAGATGCAGTTTAGAAGATAAGGGTTTAGGATAGGTAGAAAACATTATATATGGACCGTCAATTAGACCCCATAGAAGGATAAAACTGGAATGTATGCTGTATGCACCATCAATCTTGCTAGAGAATGGCATGATAGATGAAGATATAGCACATAACATCATAATAGGACACAAAAGAGTGTGACAGGCTTGCTATGCAATAGGAAATAACCAAAATGAAAGAAGATTCCATAGAATTGTGGTGACAACACAATAGTTTACGGGAGTGAATGTTGCCCTTTAGCATATCCAAAGATGAGGGTCCACGTAATGTGATTATATATGCACCATCGATCTTGCTAGAGAATGGCATGATAGATGAAGATATAGCACATAACATTATAATAGGATGGCTAACACGAAAGAGTGTGATAGGCTTGCTATGCAATAGGAAATAACCAAAATAAAAGAAAATTCTAATAGAATTGTGGTGACACCACACTATATGGGAGCGAATGTTGACCCTTAGCATATCCAAAAGATCAGGATCCATGAAATATGAATGTCAAAATGGATGTGTGATCATACAATCTTGGACAATATTAGAAATGTTCACATCCAACAAGAGGTACAAGTACCACACAAAGGATATAAGATAAAGTCCCCTTTGGTGGTTAGCCCATGTCCTACATACACCTCCACATGCACCTGTCTTTAGGTGCGACATTATGAAGATTGAAGGTGCTATAATGAGATGAGGAAGATCCAAAATCATATGGACAAAAATTGTCTCACACCTATCATTTATTGGCATCAATGTGTACTTAGCCAAGTACAAAACACAATGGAAGCAACGGATCCATAAAACTACTATCAATTAATTGGAATTTTTTTTATAACTGTGGTATCCGGACCAGCTTGTGCACACCTCGACTAATTCCAATGGATACCTGCCACCTCCTACCAGCAACAGGTACCATGTGACTCTATCCACCAAGGCTTAGACAGATTGGAAAGAAATTCACCTAGTGGTTTGCCTCCATTGGGATTTGAACCTGAGACCTCATGGTTCTCACCCACTTCATTGACCACTAGGCCACACCCTTGGGTGCTACTATCAATTAGTTGGAATTAAGGTTTACTTATCATTGTTTGGTTATTTAAAAAAGGTTTACTTATTGTTGTTACACATACAATAGGTCCAATGTCACCATGAGTATTTATGGTTTCGAATAAACTTGTATACCAATGTAGAGTTCAGAGTGAGATCTAAAGAAGCTCTAACATTAGAGAGCCCAAAATTCGCCTTAGAACACAAATTATTTACGAGCAAAGAAAATTCTGAATTTGTTTGGCCCAAATAAAGCGGAATAGATACAGAGGATTCATATTACCAAATCTTTTTGTAATTCAGACTTACTTGATTGATTGATAAGTGTACGTTCACTTGGATTTGTGAGTTATCTTTTCAATAAGGTGGATTTATGAGTTATCTTACTGTAAATATATTTCTTATTGTTCTAAACCAGTAACACAATCTGAAATATTTCTTAAGGTGGATTTATGCCTCAAAATCTGAAATGCAAATCAGACTGCCGTATAATTTCTAATTTTCTTTTTTTGTTTTTGGTAAGTACTTTCTAGATTTCTCCTTGACAAAGCAAAAGGCAGGACAATGACAATATTCTCTTGGGGAAATAATGAAGCCGTCATTTTTATTTTTATTTTTTGACCAAAAGATAAATATTAAAACATCATCTTGTAACAACATCCTTACTAGGCTACAGCACGATAAAAATTAAATCAAAATGGTGGTAACTAAAAGATAATTAACATACCATTCCTTCTTGAATAACGTCAAGAGTTAAACTCTTGTGCAATAAAGCGAGACGCAAAGAAAGCCAAATTTTTCTCTTCCCCGCTTCTTTCTTATCGTCATCCAAATGCAAGACGATGCAAGAAACAAGCTGACCGACGTGATATACAATAGAAAGAAGATTGGTGTTCATCTCCGACTGTGAAGGAAAATTTGAGCCATTAGAAGAATAAAATAACACAACAATCACTAAGAACATGCAATATCTTCAACAATTACTTTTATTAGAGGAGAGATGATAAACTATATAGAGATTTAAGGAACCTAGCATTGAATTTACCTTTATTAGAATTCTTTGACTCTAGCTATACTTCCATTAAACAAGTATTTTCCCAATATTTTGATAAAGTAATAAACATTATTAATAGAAAGGGAAAACTTCTCATATAAGATGTATATAAAATAAACTGTTCTCTACATACAATATTTCAGCAATTATTTGTTTGTGTAATTGTGTGTGTTACCTCAAAAATTAAACAACTAAATGAACAAATTGTGCCAATAATAAGATCTCTTTGGTGAAAAGAAAAACCTAGAAGGATTATATCTTTAATAAGTCAAAAAGGTTTCAGACAGAGACTGAATCTAATTTATGCCCTGCTAAAGAGAAGTCATACTTGGATGATATATCATCATCTTATGATAGGAAAGAACAACCATTTTTTTCCTCCAGCATAGCGAAGTAAATCATAAACATAAAAATAATCCCCTCAAATCCAAGTATGTGGTGTACATCTGTAAAAGCTTCCACTTCAAAGGTTGACATTGCTTTTCTTAACTAATGGAGTTACATATGAAAATCTCCCCTCATTATTCGATTTGTGGTATATGCCTCTAAGATTTTACTAACAAATTCTTCTAGGTCATGGAAAGTAAAAAGAGTTGAGCTTTTCTTATGAGGAAAAAGAGTTGAGCTTTTTCTCCAAAACATCAAATTGTGTACCCAAAAATGACCTCATGGATGTAAAATACTTCGAATAATTTACAGCTCATTGTTTAATCATCTTTGACCTTAAACAAGATAACCGTTCTATTCTAAAAATGTTTTGCATAGTAATATCCAGGAACTCAAGTTCAAGTAAAAAGATCATTTTAACCTTGCCCAGTTGGTTTTCATATAAATGCTAACTACTCCATACCTCTCATAATGGTTCTCAGGATATTGGCTAAAGATTAAAAAGATATGAATCCATTAAAAAACTGACCAAAGCTCTCGTGAATACAACATATTTCAGATATGCTATAGCTCAATGTTTATCCGTATTTGAGTAAACAAGAAGACCTTTCTCTAATGGAGATGCTTTGCATAGTATTATCTGGGAACTTAATTCAAGTAATAAGATCATTTTAACTTTGACATGTTAAATTAAGTGAAATAGTAATCACCCCACAACTTCTCAAGATGCTTCTCAAGAAATTGACTATGAACTCAAAGGATATGAATCCATTGAAAGACTGACCAAATGTCTCATTAAGGACTTAAGGGAGTGGTACATCAGAATTTTCTTGAGATGCAATAAACATATATCTTCTTCAGTAAGCCTCGAGAGACCATGAAACATAAGGAATCAAAAACATTTCCTATTAATTTAACCAAAAAGTAGGGTGGGAAAAAAACTAAACCAATTAATGATTTTATACCTTCTAGTGCATTTCTTCAATAAAAACAAATATGCCTCAATGCCAAGCAAGTTCGCTAAGTGAACTAACCATGCCGCTCCATTTAAATCAACACTAATTCAATAGTTGAAGATTCAAATATCCTACCACTAGAAACTCTCTAGTGAGCCTCGAGAGACCATGAAACATAAGGAATCAAAAACATTTCCTATTAATTTAACCAAAAAGTAGGGTGGGAAAAAACTTAAACCAATTAATGATTTTATACCTTCTAGTGCATTTCTTCAATAAAAACAAATATGCCACAATGCCAAGCAAGTTCGCTAAGTGAACTAACCATGCTGCTCCATTTAAATCAACACTAATTCAATAATTGAAGATTCAAATATCCTACCACTAGAAACTCTCTATGTATTCTGTTGGCATACTAATCTCTAACAAGACTAGAAGGCTCCTCGTTAACTAAACCTTAACCATAGCTAATTGATACCTCCTATGTGAATCTTTTCTTTCACTTTGCCCTATTTTGTGCTAACTCTGCATGGGTTCTAAGAAATTTGTAGGTGTTTGAGACTTCTTTACATGAGATTTTAGGCCTACCGTCCTTTTAACACCTCCAATCACCACGGATTCACACCTATACACCGCCACGTCTAGAGGTCGATATAGGACATGACTAAACCATCTCGTGATCTCTCATTTTTATCCTCTATGCAGACTACTTGTTTCTGGTGCATTTCTTCAAATGAGACAATATTCCCAAACCATGAGATGATGTTTCAACACTAATTTGGCTTTGTTGACCAAAATGCAACCACGAACTCACAGTAATTTTCGCTAGAAAGAATGATATTAATGCTCCTGCCGAGTAATTGGCATAACTTTACACCACTGGTCCTCGAAGATTTCTCAATTGCAAAAAAGGGTACAAAGAAATGTGAAATGACACGGGGAAGCCTTCTGGAGAAAAAAAAAAAGACAATTTGGGAAATAAAATTTCAAAAAAATATAAGCTGAGGATAAAACAAAAATAAAAAGTCATCAAGGATAAACTAAAATCCTCAAATGCAAATGTGAGAAAGCTAAAAAGTCTGTCAAGCAGGAAAGAACATTTTGGGTGTGCAGATTTTTTTATTAACTAGGACTTAATATCATGTATGTTCTTAAGTTTATCCACTCCTGAATATTTGAGTTCGCCTATTTTCTTCCTTGTTTTTCGTTGACAGTAGAGGAAAAAGAAGCATTTTGAATTCTTATTTGAAATTTCAATGTTACACACATGCACAATAATCACATAGACTCAGGATTTTTAAATTTATGTTGAAACTATGTCCATAAGTATAATTCTGAGGCAGTGATGTGAATAAAAGTCAAAATAATGGAACCGCTGCAAAGATAAATAAAAAAATCAGCACTATTCAAATGGGGCTTAAAAAAGACATTATTTACTTAGAAAGAATTCAAGTAATATAAAGAGCCTTAATTGGATATGTCTAATTCAGTAGCAATTGAATTTTAAGGGCATTTAGTCAATAAGTTTAAACTAGTGTGGGAACATCACTTTTTGGTTGGTTACAGTACCACACCTTCTTTTATCCTCCCATTTAATAGATAAATTGAAGAAATTGATACAGCACACACTACATAATAGTTTAAATTCCTTCCAGCTTGCCTAACAATGAAAACTCCTGCCTAGAATAAGCTCTGGACCAAAAGTTATTCTTCTTAAATTTTCATTAATAAAGGGACTTCAGGAATACAACGAAAATACAGTGCACAGAACCTATACTTAGGATTCAGAAAATAAATTGTCAGAAGATTCAGTACCAGTTTTGCTCCATCCTCCACAAAAGGAGGAACTGCTTCAGATGCTCGAACCAACCCCCGCAAGCCTCCCGGGAGACTGACAACGATATCTTTCTCATTTACTTCAGAAACCACTCCCCAGAGCTTCATTCCAGGAGATATATTCTGAATGCATAAGAAAGCAAAGCAGTTATATGTTTACTGCCAGTTCGCATAACTGTTAGGACAACCACACAGCATAAAACTTGGAACACAGGTAGACATGATGAATTACATATGTAGTCACTAAAAATGAACTTGTAAACTGCTCAGTGTTGTCAAAGGCTCATTTAAAGAGCGCTTAAACACTGAAGCTAGGAGAAGCTCCGGGATGGCGCTTCGCCTCGCGTAAGTTACACTTCAGCCTAAGGCAAGGCACCAAGACATGCACATCATTGCCCATGAGTTTTGTCGTAAATCAAGCAACAATAAACAACACATAATCGGAAAAAAAGGGTGCTAGCTGTAAAAGAAAACATTATGAATGAATTTGTTACTTTGTTCTTGATATATATATATATATATATCCTCTTCATTGCGTCTTTTTTTAACTAAAGCCCACACTTTAAATGCGCTTTGCACTTAAAGCCCCAACAGACCTAGATAGAGCTTTTCGCCTTTGACAACACTGAAATTGCCTAAACAACAAAATGGTTCTAAAGTCCACAACGTCGTATAAGGCACATGTAATTGTGAAAGCAAAACGTTTCACAAACATTTTTCTATCAAGTAAATAAATTTTCATTGACGAAAAGGCCCCCAAAAAAAAAGAAGCGGTCGTATATAAAAATAGGGAGAAATGCTTCAAGAAGCGATTGAAACCACGATCCCAAGGTTTTCACAGACATGTGAGCAAGTTGTTAAGTACACTCTTTTTTAGAGAGAGAGAGAGAGAGAGAGAGAGACTGATTTCAAGCTAAAGTAAATTTTATTAATGAAAGTACGAAGAAGGTACTGCACACCACAAAATTACAGGAACAGTATGGTTCCCTATCTCCGCTCCGCTAGAAAGCTACTATATTAACGGAGCATGTTTGACTTTATGAAGAGATACACCCTTCCACATACAAGCATGGTTAAATGAAATGCCCTACATCCACTGCACTCAGATATGTAGGGACGGGAGTGATATGTGGAACATGACACCAAACTGCATTAGAGAAACTGCTAGAGAGGTGCTAGGGTCTATTATCCAAAGAAATGGGGAGATTGATGGGAATGTTACACATTGTATCAGAGCAGGGTGGGTGAAATGAAAACTCGCATCAGATGTGTTATGTGATAAGAACGTGCACCTAAACTTAAAGGTAAGTTCTACAAAGTGGTTGTTAGACCGACTATGTTGCATGGGGCAGAGTGTTGGCCAGTCAAGAACTCCCATGTCTAGAAAATGAGAGTAGCAGAAATGAGGATGTTGAGATGGATATGCGGGCATACCAAAATGGATAAGATTAAGAATGAAGAAATTCGGGCCTTGGTAGGAGTGGCTCCGATGGAAGACAAGATCCGAGAAGCGAGGCTTAAATGGTTTGGGCATGTGAAAAGGAGAAGCGCAGATGCCCATTGAGGAGGTGCGAGAGGTTGGCCCTGGTGGGTTTGAAGAGAGGCAGAGGCAGGCCAAAGAAGTAGTGGGGAGAGATGATTAGGCAAGATATGGCATTGATTAAGCTTATCGAGGACATGACCCTTGATAAGGAAAATGTGGAGGTCGAGAATCAAGGTAGAAGCCTAGTAGGTAGTGGAGAGTGTTTCTTTTATATACCAATAGTACTAGTGTTAGTCTGGTGTTATATTATTGTTAGATTTCCAGTTTTACGTGTTGTCCCCTTTGCTTCGTTTTCTTGTTACCTTGTTGTTGTTAATGCTTGTGCTACTGCTTTATTTTCATCTTGCCTTGAGCCAAGGGTCTATTGGAAATAGACCCTCTACCTTCCAGGTAGGAAGGTTTGCGTACATACTACCCTCCCAGACCCCACTTGTGGGATTATACTGGATTTGTTGTTGTTGTTTCTACTGCACTCATATCTAAATCTATAAACACAAACGATAAAAGCAAGTGCCTGAGTACTAGCCAGAAAATGAAGACATCAGGAAAAAAAAAAGGAAAAAAGCCTGAGAGAAAAGTCAAAACGCATTGAACAAGGTTAAAATGGAGGTAAGTAATGCATAAGGTGCTAACTATCAAAAAGAAAAATGCATATGGTGTGCAAGAAAATCAGCAACAATTTTTCTTTTTGATAATCGTGGTGTCCAGGCCAACTTGCGCGCACCTCAACTAATTCCACGGGTACCTGCTACCTAACACCAGTACAGGTATCGAGTAACTCGAGAAAATCTACGACAATTGAGTTAATTTCCTTTTCTGTTCCCTTTTTTTTGGACAATAGGTGGTAATAAGGTAATAAGTGTTGGCAGTTCCGTTGTCATTTTATAAATGCGGAAATACCCAAAGACTCAACTGCACTAACCAATTCAAGAACTTTTACAATGGTATTATCAGCAAAGCACATATATTTCAAAAAATGACTTCTAAATCAGACTCAAATGGATGAAACAACTCTACCTTAATCATAATATTATGACAACTTTTTTATAAGGAAAACATTGTGATATCTTAGCATGTACCCTGTTGTTTTACCGTTTTACGTTTGAAAAGTTATCTTTCCGTCCTATTATGCAAGCAGTTACTCAATTTTCACTTCCACAACCTTAATATCATACTTCATGCACTTGAATTTTCAACAGACATATCCAATTACCAAGTCCAAATATAACTTAAAGGTCTCATTAACATTTATACTCTTTTGACATTTTTCGACAGGATGGCCAGTGACAAAATCATTCTTAGAAAGGGATACAAAATACAGAGAAACTACTTATAATTGTAAATTTCCCTAATGTTCAAGCGACACATATAGCACACGTCTATGATCAGTCTGAATCCTCTACAATTCCAGGAAAAGTTAGTTAAGAAATTCCAGGCAGGCCATACCTTTAAAGTGACCCTGTTAGCAAACCTCGGCAATTTCCCATTGATGCCACCGCCAAAAAGCGAACCTAAGTCATCTTCTGTTGATTGATTACTCCGTTGCACCTTGTTTTGCTTCTTCCCCTTCTTCTTCAACAATCTCTCTTCAGCCTCAAACTCTGCATCCACCTCAGCTCGAACTTCATCCAATTCCTCTCTACTCAAAGAACTTCCCCCACCTACAAAATTCATACGGACAAATCGGTCCATATGTTCGAGAAACCAAATTAAATATATCATACATTGTTTCGTTCAACAAACCAATACGACCAAGAAAATTAAATAAACTAGCTCTTTCCAAAGAAAAAATCTTTAGACAAATTAATTCATGTCACTAGACATGCACAGCTAGGGAAATGCCCACTAGATTTTTTTTTCTCACAAGCAGTTATATGATCGAGAAACTCAAACAAATTTTCATAAAAGCTTATGTGTTGACCAGACCCAATAGCAATATTCCAATAGAAATACCCACAATATTCATGACCCATTTTTTCATTAAATGCAATGAATACACAAATAGTAAACTGAACAAATTTGCTTCCTTCTACAAAACAAATGGTGATTGGGCAGAAGAAGTACCTCTAGGGAAGTCAGGAACGTCGTCTTCAAGCTGAAGGGGCATGGTTGAAACGTCGCCTTTGCCTTTGGCCTTGAATGGTTTTTTAGATGGATTTTGAACATTCCTTGAAACGGGTTTAGAAAACTTTTTGCTTTGGGATTTCTTTGAAGGAGGTGCCATTTTTCTAGTACGCTTTTTCCTCAATTCAGAGAAATAACATCAAGATGTCCGAGAAAAGAAGAGAAGCAGAGACTGACGGAGGGTTTAGAAGGGTTTAAATTTGCCGCTGGGTCATGTGGGCTGGTAGAGATTGTTGTTTGCTATGTATTGGGCTTTTTTCAATTTGCTGTGAAGTGCATAAATAAAGGGAATCTTTACAAAAATATCTCAATTAAGTCTAATCATACATTTACCAAAATTAACCAAACACATATAAAAATTAAAAACCTAAATAAATAAGATTCTTTCTCTTCAAGAATCACACACAAAAATCTCATTCCACATTTTTTAGCGTGATCGACACCATTAGATGCAAGACGGAAAGGAAATTTTATGGATGAGGTAGCAAACAAGGTGATGAAATACAACAAAATATAAATACAAGATTCCAAAAATCTAAGCAAAAAATGACATTTTTCACTGGTTATGATTGAAATTCATTGAAAACATGTAGATTAGTCAATATACAATTTTTGAGGAAGATTGGAGGTGATTTGGACTAATTTGGTATTAAAATTTGTAGTTTAAATCGAATTCAAAAACTTCTTATGCGACACATGTATCACACATACAAGTTTACATGGATATACATGTAATACACATTTGATACAAATATAGTACATATGTGATACACAAATGATACACAGTACGATACGCATATCATTTTTTTCATGTTTCATCTTCTATTTCGAATTTTCAGTTCAAACCAACTCAAAACTTTGCCAAATCATCCCAAAACTGATATCCAAACTCCTTAAGATGTATCCAATATGTTCTAATAACACTCACTCGAAAAAAATAATAAATTGACCTTTTTTTTGCTACAATAGCTAATTGGCTAATATTAGTAATATTTTATGAATTGACCAGTTTTTGTAATAAACTACTTATAAGTGGACATATGTCGCTCCTTAGTCTTTGACTAAGTACACGTGCGTCACTTGACAACTCGCTCACGATTTTGCACAACTTGCTCACGTTCTTGCTATGCCAAGTCAACCTTACTACACTAAAGATCGTTAAGCGAATGTTAGAACACAGGAGAATTGCCAAAGGAAGCTTTTGTATTAGAGAAAACTTGATTGTATTGCTTAATGAGCTACAAATGAATAACCCCTATTTATATACTAGTTTCATAGGGGCTAGCGAGTAAATAATAATTATTACACAAGGCCTTTATTATTACAAGTAAGTCCCTTCTCTAGAATATTCTACATAGCTAAAATCTTCAATGGCGTTCCTAGCAATTTCATAGGGTTCTAAGGTCTTCTATGAGAAATCTCCATATTTTTCTAGAACCTTCCCAAATGTGCTAGTCCATTTCATATGTAAACTTCTATATGGCAAAAATATATGACAAATGGAACCTACGTGGCATGATGATGTGGCGGGTCATGACACTCTCCCCCACCCAATTTTGTGTCGCCCTCGGCACAAAGCATCGACACATACACGTGCACCTTACCTTGGCATCGCTGAGATCTTTGTCTATTAGCCATGATGCCCTATGGGGCGGTTCGCCTTCCCATGTCACATAGTACTTGTCACTTTTCTTCTTGCCCCGTTTGTACTTTGGACGGCTAGCAATGATGGCCTCGATCCTCTGCCCATCGGATGCCTCTCCTTGCTCTTGGCCTGAATCTCCCCATGACTCAACCAAATCTATCAGCTTCTCAAGCATCGGGTCCATGTTTTCACTCCCTATTTGGCTGCCCTCCGTGATCCCAGCCTTGTTAGCAAACTTGTCCCCTCTGCTTGGTGCATCGTCTAGGTCGGATAGTATGACATTACTTTGTAACTTGCTATCCTCTTCAACTATGTCCGCCCAACTTTTCTTGCTACCACCATACTCCATTTGCATGGGGGCCAAGATAGGCTTTGGAATCCTCTACTTTCTGCTTAGATTCAAAGTGCATCCCCCAATGCAGGCGGTCTCTCATGTGCCTAAACAAAGTTTCCGATCATTGCTACAAGCTTCCCCAATTTTGGGCATTCACTTGTGCGATGTGATCCTTTAGGCAACACCATCCCTTAGGCACGTACTCGCTACCGTTCTTTGGCCCCTTGTTGTTGCTCTTGGACCCATGTCCGTTATGGGATGGCCCCTTGACATTGCCCTTGTATACCTTGGTTATTCCTTTCCTGTTGTCCTTATCATGATCTCCCCCTACCTCTCTCGGCGTTGCCTTCTTTGGACTTGGCAGGATCTATCTTGAAGTCAACGAGCGACTCGGCTACCGCTATGACCTCGTCCACGTTAGCTACTTCATGTCTTTTTTAACTCTTGCTTTGCCCAATTTTGCAAATTATCCATGAAATAGATGAGCACCCTCAACTTCCAACTAAGAGGTTGTGAGTTTAAGTCACCCCAAGAGCAAGGTGGGGAGTTCTTGGAGGGAAAGAGCCGAGGGTTTATCGGAAACAACCTCTCTACCTTAGGGTAGGGGTAAGGCTGCATACACACTACCCTTCCCAGACCTCACTAGTGGGATTATATTGGGTTGTTGTTGTTGTTATCCATGAAATAGAAGAGGGAATCTTTCTCGGACAACGACGTGATTTGCAGTATTAAGGTAGTGAACTCGTGCACATACTCCCAAATTGTGGCCGTTTGTCGGAACTCCCTTAGCATCCACCTAGCCTCATACACCTCATTCACCGGGTAGAATTGCTTCTTCAACTCCTTCTTGAACTACTCCCGCGTCTCAATCTTGCATAGCCCATTTTCCATGTCAGCATACTTTCGACGCCACCATAACGCGGCAACCTCGGTCAAGTACATTGAGGCATTGCGTACCTTAACAACTTCGTCATCCTCCTTGACTACCTCAAAGTACTTGTCCAACCTCCAAAGTAAGTCTGCCACCTCGCATGCATCCCGTGCACCTGCTTTCGCTTAGGGACCTTCACATTTGCCCCTTTTGCAAGTACCACACACTTGGTAATCCCAATCATGGTTCCCTACAAAGTTTTCTTCTAGCAATCTCTTATATTTTTTCTAACATTCCTTTAGTCATAACCTTTGCTATGATACCACGTTATCACGTCCTTGGTCTTTGACTAAGTACACGTGCGACACTTGACAACTCACTCACGATTTTGCACAACTTGCTTACGTTCTTGCTATGCCAAGTCAGTCTTACTACACTAAATATTGCTAAGGGAATGTTAGAATACAAGAGAATTGCCAAATGGACCTTTTATATTAGAGATAACTTGATTGTTTTGCTTAATTAGTTACAAATAAATAACCCCCATTTATATACTAGTTTCACAGGGGCTAGTGAGTAAATATTAATTATTACACAAGGCTCTTATTATTTACAAGTAAGTCTTTCTCTAGAATATTCTATATAGCTAGAATCTTCAAGGACTTTCCTAGCAATTTCATAGGGTTCTAAGGTCTTCCATGAGAAATCTCCATATTTCTCTAGAACATTCCCATATGTGCTAATCCATTTCATATGTAAGCTTCCATATGACAAAAATATATGTCAAATGGCACCTACGTGGCATGATGATGTGGCGGGTCATGACACTTAGCTTGCAGTTTCCTATAAATAAATGATGGAGTACACAAATAGCCCTCGAAATGGATGGTCTTGAATTTTGGGGGAAGTGGACAAATACCCGATTAGGGCCACTATTTAAGTAGCACCCGAAGTTGAATATTTTGTACAAATTTACCCACTTCATATTACAACTCAAAATTCGCATGTGATCACTTCAGAATTCGTATCTAAAATTACAAATTGGGATTAAGAATCTAATCTAAAGTTTTTCTATCATTTCTAAGTGCAACTTCAAAATCGGATCTGAAATTATCGTTTCACTTTAAAGTGCAACTTCATTATCGGGATATGAAGTTTTTATCACTTCAATCTGCAACTTCAAAATTGGAATATAAAGTTCTTATCACTTCAAAATGCAACTTCAAAGGTGAGATCAGAAGATTATGGACAGTATTTGGTTTTCCAAGGTGACAACTGAATTGGTAAGATTCGGCTTGGAGAATTTTGAACTCGGACGTCATTGCCGGCTCTGTCGAGATTGAATTTGATATCTGAACTGCAAATTTAAAATAGTGACTCAACTCTATTTGATTACCTGAAGAAGAAGCTTAACACCATTGTTGAACACTTAGATTTAACTGGAAATTTTCATATCTGAAAAAGTAGGAGCGAAATCTAGTGCGGCGTAGAAGAATCTGAATCTAAAGTACTCACTAGATTGGGTACTAGTTAAACTTTTTAGAAAAAGTGAGTACGAGTTAAATGGTGACGATCAAATAGGGTATCCCGTAAAATTTTTACTTGAATTTTTGTCCCACTTGCCACTTGGATAGAATTACAAGTTTAATAAGTATTGCCCCTCACTTGCCATGTGGGCAACACTTTTAACTTTTGACCTTAAAGTTTTGTCTATGGGGCAAGAGGGGTCAAAAATTAAAGAGCACCCAAAAACTGTCATATTCCTGTGATTTTTTTTATAAATACCCGAGGGACCGTTGTTTAAGCAATAGGCTAAGTTTAATATTTTTTATAGATTAACCCACTTTGGACATAACTTTAGATATGCGTAACTAGAGTGATAAAAATTTACGTCTGATGTTGGAAGGTCGCATACATGAAGAACTTTAATCAATTATGACTGAACTCTTTGAGAAGATAATAGCCATGTTCTTCCAAATTTGAAGTGTAGGCGACGTACCAATGAAATTTGATATTAACCTATATGTATTTGCATCTAGTGATACATTTGGTGCCATAATTATCATTGTGGTATGAGTCAAAAATTTAGTTACGTCGTTAATGTTTACCTACTATTCAACTTCTTTGTAATACTCTCTGGATTTTCAAAGCAGTGCACTATCTAGGAAAGTTTTTGCCTTTGACCCTCGTAATCTACCTTTTATTCTTTCTTGGATACTTTATATTGTGAGGATGTTACATCATGTGCGTCTTAAGGTGACGTATAATGAATATGAGACTTGTAATCAAGATTTAAATGAGTGTAGAATCATAATATGACTATATATGATATTTGGATATAAAATATAAAGTTTGGGGAAAATCGGAT